ATATTTTATTAAATTATAGTTAATTATTTTTTTAACCAAACTTTTTCGTTACTTTTAAAAGATAGTTTGTTTTCTGTCCTAATTCGCTTTTATTTGAGGAGTAATTTAATTTGCAGTCCATACTGGGGGGCATTTTTCCAGCATCGCTTGCTTTTGACACCCTGCGAAAAAGCACAAGCCATTATTATGCGCATACAAGTTTTGAAAAATTGTATTTTTCATTGATCTAATTTTTGTGTTATGGATAAAATTTCAACGTCCCCCCCTTCCCCTCAATATATAGGAAAATGATACAACACACCCTTAGGCACAACACCAACTACACTCCCCCCCTACAGCTCACGTGATTTTTTTTAAAAAAAATCACATGTGGGGCTGCTGCACTGTAGCAGGGGTGGTTGGTGGTGTGCCTAAGGGTGTGTCTGTAACGCCTCTCCAAAATATACATCCAGATTCTTATGTATTCTAGCTAATTTTTTTATTCTGTCCGTGATAAACTTACTCATTTTAGCTATTACAAAGCAAAATTAATTATAGTAATCAACATTTGATCCAAAAAAGACTTTGTGAGAAATCTAGACAAAATGAGAAGGAGCCAAGCAAGGCCACATGGAACCAAAGGCAAACTCCATGGGAACTACGAGGTGCCAGCTAGTGTTTTTTATTTTTATTTTCCTTTTATAAAATCAAGTTTCAGAAGATAATCTATCTATGTTTTTTGTTCATTGAATAGCTGGTGATAAAAAAGAAGGCAAAAATGGGAGGTTGGGTTCTCTTTTCTCTTTGATCACCAAATGTTCATTAGATACAGTCCATTGCATAAGTTCACATTTTTAAGGAAAAATGAATTTAGTGTCTCCACATGAAGAGTTCACAGTAGTTTTGTTTTCTGCCTCCCTGCCTAATAAAAAGAAGAAGGTTCTTCTCACGTCTGCCTGACAAGAGTAACTATAAATATAGCAAGTATTGTATATAGAAATTGTTGCATGTAACTACAAGCAGTTTTGAATCAAATAATTAACAAATAGTTTGTAGTTGTTTGAGCAACTATTCGGTTATATTCAATTCGTAGTTTATTTAACACAAAATAAATAATATCTAGTATTTGAGTTCATTAGCGAATAGAATTTAACCAGATGTACAGTATATTCGATTTGTTTGCTCATCAAATGTTTGTTTAAAATTTAAGTGCTTATAATTTGTATTATTACGAAAATGAAGTTATATTTTCAACGCACTTATATTTTCAATTTGAGTTCTATATACTAATTTTGAGAGGCTTCAAGAACCTTAAATCAATTTTCTAAGGAAATGTTCGAATATATATGTATACACACACATATATATATAATCAAATAATGTTTATTTATAAATTTAAATACTATTTAAAAAATCAAATTCTTTAGCAGAATAATTATACTTTGATATTCGATAAATATTCATGAATATTGATGAATATTTAACAAATACTAAGTATTTGAGTCCAAATTTGAGAAACTCCGTATGTAGATATTCAAATTCGGGTTCGAATTCGATAATTTTTAAACAAATACATATACAAACATCTTAGTATTGGATTCGATTCCATAGTTTACCACCCCTACATGTAACATTTATTCGTACACACAAAAAAAAAATCTCAAATATGTTATTTTGACACCTGTATGTTACTGCAGAAAATACATTTCATTTCAAAATGCCGAATTTGGTTAGTTGCAAAAACTATTGTATTGTATATTCTGTTGAAAGAGATACATTAATATTGCAAAAATGAAGTTGTGTTTGATTTTATATGTAGTTATATGTTACTACATTTCCTGAGTTGGACCAACTCCATTGATTCGACGACACAATCATATATAATTCTCAATTTTTCTTTTTTGATCAGCCACGAGCTATCCCCACTCTACTGGATGGGATTAATCCCGCTTGCGGTAGCCTGAGAGGAGATTAATTACCAAAATTTTGAATAAATGAGTAATAGCAACTAAACTATAAACTTCATTGTACTACAGGCAATCAAAATTTGAATCCTTTGTGATTGAATTGTTGTTATAAATTAGGAAAAATTGTGTCAATGCTTCAAAAGTAATAACTTCATGTGTTGCAGCCCCTCTACCTTTTTCTCAATGTGCTGCAGCCCTTAAATTGGAAATATATGTACTGCAGCACTTTTTAGCAATTATTCACTGTCAACCAAGCATAGAGAGAGAATAAAAAAATAAAAAAAAATTCCTAAAATGACATCATCTCTTCTATTCTTCTCTCTAAATCTAATTGTCATGGCTCATCATTCCTCCTCTTTTCTAACTCATCTCCTTCCTCCTCTCCCCCTCTTCCTCCTTTTTCTCTCAAACACCGACACCCCCCTCCACCACCACCGAACCTAGGTGCACGCTCCGGCCATATTGTTGATATGGGACTCCGGCCATATTGTTGATATGGGGTATATATTACATAGAAAAAACTCAACCTTATACGTTTTTTCTCTCACTAGTTTTCCCCGCTCTCTCTTTCTTTTCCCCCCAAAAGCAAAATATGTCCAAATTTGCCCGGCAATGGCAATGGCGAAACCCTCGAATTTGTCAAAGTTCTCGTCAGAGGATCCGCCAAATAACATATCGGTCTCCGACACTGAAGGCGAAGAGCGAGGCAGAGAAGATGGTGTTGGAGGAGGACGAGGAGCCCGTGTGTTAAGTCTAATGAAATTCGTAATTTCTGTTTGAACATCGTGGAAAGATGAAAATTTAAAGAAATGCCGGGTAAATATGATTTTTTGATGATTTTTTATGGTAAGTTCTGTTGGCCTTCTTGTTTTGATGATGTTTAACAAACAATTTACCACTAATGTTGTTTGTCTAGTATTTGTGTATTCCTATGTATTGTAGACAAACAACGTAGTTGGAGGATGGATGGAATAGAGCTTCAACGATCATATCTAATGGAGGTTGGCGGAATAGTGGAGTGAAGCAATGCACATTCAAGTCAAGATCCAAGTTCAAGCTTCATCCGCAAGATTACCAAGATAGAGCTTCGTTGAAGATCAAGATCATTGCTTGGGTAATTTAGTTTAGGAATTTATATTATGTGTGTTAGTACTTTAAGCTCAATCATATACACACATACACGTTTTGGATTTTGTATATATATAGTTATATATATACATATAGGTTTTGGTTTGATAGTTTTCAAGTTTTACTATGAAACAAATGAATAGAATTGGAAAATACTATTTTGTTTCATGTTTATATGCCTATATATGATTTCACCTTTAACAAGCTTATATTTAATGAAATCATATTTAGTGTTTTGAATATATTGCATAGAATATGCAAATTTATGAAAATATTGTATTTCTAGATTATAGACTTCATAACAACATGTTATATCTTTTATCAAGTCTATACAATCATTTCATAAGGTTTCAAAATGTTGTTTAAGTCAAAATATCAAAATATCAATTTTCAGGTTTTCATGTTTTGGACTATTTTGTAAAATGATGATATTTTTCATTTGGGAAGTCCTTTTTCGAAACCAGTCGTTGTAGCATGTTTATTATCATGTCTACAATCATTCCCCAAAGTTTTACATTTTTTGGAATTTATTTGATATTTTTAAACAGCATTTCAAAATCAGATAAACAGTTTTCATATCAGTTTTCGGTCGACCGCACCGGTCGACCGGTAAATTGTTCATTTGCTCAGTAACCGACAGAGAGTTCGTCGGTCGACCGGTCCGGTCGACCGGTCCGGTCGACCGAGAGCTTTTTCGGTCGACCGGATCGGTCGACCGACGCCTGTCCAGTACAGTTCCAACGGCTCTTTTTATGACCGTTGCCTTGGGGCTGTTTTGTCTTTTGCTCTGGTTTCTTGGCTGAGTTGTGAGAGGGTATAAATACCCCATTGTCTTCAACTCTCAAGCCAACTAAGAAATGTTTTAAAAGAAAAGAAAAGTTTAAGCAAGGGTTTAAGGTTTTTACTGTTTGTTTTGAGTTTGGGTTTCTGTTTACAAAGGAGGAAGTTTTCACTGCAGATTGAGGGATTCATTCTCAATCCCCTTCATCCTCTTCTTGTGTTCTTAGAGAAGTTTTCTAACTCTTTTCTCTAGCAATTTCATTATTGATTTTCATATTCTTATTATTGCTAGTTTGTTAATTGAGTTAGATTTTATTTTACTCATTGTTACACACACCCACATTGAGCTTATAGTATTTGCATACATAGTATAGTTGGGTGGTGAGAGATTGTAACTTTGAGTTGTGCTTTCATTGTGTTCTCATCTATTATAGAGAACAAATTTATATTTGTTACATTGTGAGTGTTGTAAGGTTTTCGGTGAGCTAGAAACCGAGTGTGTAGTGAGGTTTTCGGTGAGCTAGAAACCGAGTGTGAGGAGTGACGTTGATCGGTGAGCGTTGAAAACCGATACTGTGAGGTGTAAACGTTATTCGGGTGAACGTAGAAAACCCGGTTGATAGTGGATTTCTCCCCGGGAGTGGGGAGCGGAGACGTAGGACGGAAGGTCCGAACTCCGTGATCATATTGCTTGTTTGAGTGTGCTTTGGCGTTCATTCATATTTATGTTCATATCTTATATCGCCATTGTCATTAGCTCATTATCTATATCATCCACTATCTTGTTTAGATTGTTTACCCCTTGTGTTAGTTTACATATCCTATACATATATCATATTGTATATCTCTTTGATAGGATATATCATCTTGTGTTAGCTCATATATCCTTGCATATATCTCATAGTATATATCATTGCTAGGATATTTACCTTTGTTCATATTGCTTATTCTTGCACATAACTCTTGTATATCTATCTTGCAAGAATATACTTGTTAATTAATTTTAATTGGCACTTAAATCGGATTAGATTAGCATAAGACCCTAATCACCCCCCCTCTAGGGTCTAACAATTGGTATCAGAGCTTGGTGCTCTTTGATTTAAGGTCTAATCGCCTTGAGTTAAAGATCCAAGTTAGCTTATTGTGCTAATCTAATTTTGAGCTTTATTTGTATCTTGCTTGCATATATTTTTACAAATTATGAATATGAATGATGCATCTTGTTTAGGCTATGATTCTAGTGTTGCTCCTAGATTAGACAATTTCCCCTATGCCCAATGGTGTGTTAGATTTAAACTATTTGTTAGATCTAAACATTTTGATTTATGGGAAATTATAGATGATGCTTATATTGTGCCCATTTTGGAGAAATCCAAGTGGAATAAAAATGATCATCGCATGTTTACTATGAACAACATTTTGTTAGAATATTTGTTAAATGCTTTTAACTCATCTATGTCTAACAAGTTTGTTCATTTTGATAGTGCTTACACCTTATGGATATTTATAGAAGCACATCAAGGAGACTTGGAGGCGATCCGACAAGCTTTGGAGGATCCCGCTTCAAGTTCATGTGGAGCATCATGCACACGGCCACTAGGCGATAGCCCTAGTGAGGTTTGCGAGTTCGAAACCATAAATGATTTACCTAATGATGAACTTGCTTGTGCTAGTGAAAAATTATTACATGCCTTTAACAAATTGCAAAATGATTTCATTAATTTACAAAGCAAGCATGAAATTTTGAAATCCGATCATGAGTTGTTAGCATCTAAGTTTGAAACTATTTCTAATGAAAATGTGATCCTTAAAGAAAACAATGAAAAATTAAAATTGGATCATGTTTCTTTAACTTCAAACGTTGCTAGTTTAACTCATGAAAGAGATAATGCCATGTTAGAAGTAAAGAACATACAAAATAATACAGCTTCTTTTATAAATGACTATTTATGTTCTACTTCTAAAAATGCATATGTGCCTAAAAATGAAGATTTGAATCTTATGAAAAATAGTATTTCATCTTTAGATTCAACTTTGAAAATATGCATTAATAACCATAAGAAGCTTATGAACATTTGTGCCAAGACCAAATCAAAATCATCCACTCATTATCCACACATGTATAGCAAAACTTACAAGTGTTCTATTTGCGGCCGTCAAGGTCATTTAGCTAAGTTTTGTTATGATGTACAAAAACATAAGAATATTAATCATTCTTGTGCATCTCATGTAACTTCTTCATCACATGAACACACACATGCACCCATTGAGCTTATTGTATTTACATTCATAGTATAATTTTGGGTTGTGAGATAAGTGACTAAGAGTTGTGCTTAATTGAGTTCTCACCTTGTTTAGAGAACAATTAATTGATTTATCTTGTGCTTAATTGTGAGGATTCACTTGTAATACACTTGTACACCGAGAGAAGTGTGTGGTGAGAGACGGGGTCGAATCCAAGAGGAGTGGCGTCGGTTGACGTGCCTAGGGAGAGGTTGTAACCGAGCACTTGAGGAGGAGGACACGGGCTAGGACCAACACTTAGTGTGTGAGGTGTGATTACATAGTGATTGTATTGTGAGGTGTAAACGTTGTTCGGGTGAACGTAGAAAACCCGGTTGTGATAGTGGAGATCTCCTCGAGGTGAGGAGCGGGGACGTAGGTCGTGGGGACCGAACCTCGTAAACATATCGTTTTGTTTGTGATTGCATTGGCGTTCTTATTCTTGTTTTCATATCTTATATCGCCTTTGTGTATTGCTCATCATATTACCCTATCACTTGTGTAGATTGTTTATTTTACCCTTGTGTTAGTTCATATATCCTTGCTCATATATTTGTAATATCTCATTGATAGGATATATTCATTTGTTCATATTGCTTATCCTAGCTTACATATCTTGTTGTATTTTATACTTGCTAGGATAACTTATTAATTAGTTTTAATTGGCATTTAATCGGATTAGATTAGCATAAGACCCTAATCACCCCCCTCTAGGGTCTAACAAGTTCAAATCCAAGGTGAAACATTAAGTCTAATAGGTTGGAAATGAAGTCCAATGGCTTGTATACTAAGTCTATCGTGTTGAATAATAAGTCCAAAGATTATATGTTATGTCTATTGAGTTGAATAATAAGTCTAATTTGTTGAATATTAAGTGTAATGTATTATATGTTAAGTCCAATTTAATTTATGTTAAGTCCAGTTTGGTTCATGTTAAGTCCAATTCGGCTCATGTCAAGTCCAATTTGATTCATGTTAAGTCCAATTCGGTTCATGTTAAGTCGAATTTAAATCATGTTAAGTCCAATTCGGCTCATGTTATGTCCAATTCGGTTCATGTTAAGTCCAATTTAAATCATGTTAAGTCTAATTTTAACTTGTTTTAAGTCTAATTTAAATCATGTTATGTCTAATTCAACTTGTTTCAAGTCTAAAAACAAGTTAAATTAGACTTAACATGAATCATGTTAAGTCTAATTCAACTTGTTTTAAGTTTAAAAACAAGTTAAATTAGACTTAACATGAATTATGTTAAGTCTAATTCAACTTGTTTTAAGTCTAATTTCATATTAAGTCCAATTTGATTCATGTTAAGTTCAATTTGGTTTATGTTAAGTACAATTCGGTTCATGTTAAGTTTAATTTAATTCCTTTTAACTCTAATTCAGCTTGTTTCAAGTCTAATTAAATTAGACTTAACATGAAATTAGACTTAAAACAAGTTGATTTAGACTTAACATAATTTAAATTAGACTTAAAAGGAACTTAAAATGATTTAAATTAAACTTAAAAGGAATTAAATTAGACTTAACATGAATCAAATTGGACTTATCATGAAATTAGACTTAAAATAAGTTAAAATAGCCTTAACATGATTCATGATAAGCCTGATTCAACTTGTTTTTAAACTTAAAACAAGTTGAATTAGACATAACATGATTTAAATTAGACTTAAAAAGAATTAAATTAGACTTAACATGAATCAAACTGAATTTAACATGAATCAAATTAGACTTAACATGAATCAAATTGGACTTAATATGAAATTAGACTTAAAACAATTTGAATTGGACTTAACATGAACCGAATTGGACATAACATGAACCAAATTGGACTTAACATGAACCGAATTGGACTTAACATGATTTAAATTAGACTTAACATGAACCAAATTGGACTTAACATATAATCCATTACACTTAATATTCAATAAATTAGACTTATTATTCAACCCAACAGACTTAACGTACAATCCCTTGGACTTATTATTCAACCTGATAGACTTAGTATACAAGCCTTTGGACTTTACTTCTAACTCATTAGACTTAATGTTTCACCTTGAATTTGAAGGGTCTATTTGGTTGATTTCCTAAAAACCAAGAAATGAAAATGAAAAGGTGGAAATCTCAAAAAGTACAATTTCATCCATTTCCATCCCTAAAACTCACCCACAACATCCAATAAAATATTATTTTCATCCAACAACTCATCCACAACATCTAATAAAATATTATTTTCATCCAACAACTCTCCATCACATCTAATAAAATATTATTTTTATCCACAACATCACTTAACTCATCTCATCTCATCATTTCAAATCACTCACATCATCCTATAAGATGATGACAACTCATCATCTCATTAACATTTCATTTCCACTCATTTCCTCCCAAAAAGCTAGGAAAACAATTTCTTTAAGTGTGGGTCACATCATTCAATAATATAATGACAACTCATCTCATCTTATCTATTTTCTTATTTTTAAGAATGAACCAAACAAAAGAAAACAACCTATTACAGAAAATAGGTTTCTTATAATTCATTTCTTTTTTTTTCGCCAACCAAACAGCATCAAAACAAGTTTTCCTAAAAACCACTAACATCATCCAATAATAAGGTGATAATTAACATTATCTTATCTCCAATTCTTTGATTTCTTTCTTTTTTTAGACAGCCAAACATTCCCAACACAATTTTTCTTAGAAATAGTTTTCCATTTTTTGATTTCTCTCTTTTTTAGGCAAACAAACAACCCCTTAACATAAAAAAATCATCAAAAAATCATCCAAAAATCATATCTACCTGGTATTTCTTTAAATTTTCATCTTTCCACAATGTTCAAACAGAAATTACGAATTTCATTAGACTTAACACACGAGCTCCTCGTCCTCCTCCTCCAACGTCGTCTCCTCTGCCTCGTTCTTCGCCTTTAGTGTTGGAGACCGATATGTTGTTTGACGGATCCTCTGACGAGAACTTCGACGAATTTGAGGGTTTCACCATTGCCATTGTTGACCAAATTTGGGTTTGTTTTGCTTTTCGGGGGAAAAGAAAGAGAGAGCGGAGAAAATTAGTGGGAGGAAAAAACAAATAATATTGAGTTTTTTTTATGTAATATATATTCCCAGATCAACAATATGGCCGAAGCGTGCACCTAAGTTCGGTGGTAACGGAGGGGGATGTCGGTGTCTGAGAGTATAAGGAGGAAGAGGGGGAGAGGAGGAACGAGATGTGTTATAAAAGAGGAGAAATGAGGAGCCATGACTATTAGATTTAGAGAGAAAAGAATGGAAAAGATGAGAGCATTTTTGGGATTTTTTTAATTTTTTATTCTCTTTCTATGCTTAGTTGGCAGAGAATAATTGCTAAAGAAGGCTGCAACACATAGATCTCCAATTTAAGGGCTGCAACACATGGAAAAAAGTTAGAGGAGCTGTAGCACATGAAATTGTTCCTTTTGGGGCCTTGAAATAAGTTTCCTTTTGGGGCCTTGAAATAATTTTCCTTATGAATTATGACTCCCTTGGGATTCCACCGCACTTCCATTTTATAGTACAAATATCTGTATTTACTTACTAGTTTAATTAGCATAATAAGCCTTATTACTCTTTGATCCGCCTATCACTTTTAAGCCCAAGCTGGGCCCACCAATCCCAACTGGATAAAACTGGTCAGATCACGGCGGCCGCCGCCCTTACCTCCTCCCCTCTCCTCCCATCTCCGATCAAACACAATCCCTCTCTTCTCCTAACCCCTAAAACCCCTAGCTTTCGTCTTCGCTTTCGCTCTACAACAATTCGCTCCGCGGCCGCACAAATCGCGAATGATTCCGCCGGAGACGGCGGATTCGTGCTGGAGGACGTCCCTCATCTCACTGATCACCTGCCCGATCTACCGGTAATTTGAAAACATACAAAAAAGATTTATTTTTTTGGTTTTTGGTGAGATTTTTTTGAGGTTGATTTTTTAGAAGTTTTGAAATTTCAGGCGTACGGAAGTCCTATTCGAAGTAGTCCGGCGTATGCGATTGTGAAGTGAGTCAGATATTACTGGAAATTTTAGTTTGTTTAAATTTACAGAAACTCCTACTTGAAGTTTAGTCTCTCTGTTTACTTTGCCTCACATTTTATCAGGATTTGAGGGATTAAATAGTTGTAGGAACTTGGAATATTAGGGTAACTACTGAATGAGTGGGTGAAGGATTGTGAAAAAATTATTTTTTTTGTGTGTGAAAATGAGAGCTCCGGCTACTTGTTATTATTTGAATTGTATAATTTCAGTCCCTATGTGTAATTTTCAGTTGATTACTGCATCTTGGAGTGTATGTTGGTCAAACTCAAAAATAAGATTCTGGGTTGAAAAGAGGCTAATTTTAGATGTTTAGGCTGCCAAAATATCGGACATTTTGGCCAAAAGGGTCATATGGGGATCACATAAGTCATTCGTTAATGGAGGCAAAGTGACATAGACAGAAAATTTTGAGACGGTTTTCTGCAATATATGTTTTTCACATTGTTAAGAAAAGATGATATATGTTGTTTTGAATCAATAGGCAAAACTTTGTTACCTCGGAAGATGTGGTTGCTCAAAGGGTTGGTTAAATTATTCAGGTTTTTTTGACTGTTGGAGTTAAATTCTTCTGTTTATGGTTTATGTTTTATGATCTGGATTTGCTTTATTCTATTCTCTTTTGGGTTTCACAGGTTGTTGTGCAGAAGAATAGTCCTAAAGGGGTGCACTTTCGGCGTGCTGGACCAAGGGAACAAGTATAAATTATGCTTCTAAATCCGTGCTTTGTGTTTTAGGGAATTTTGATTGTTTTCATTTTGTGCTCTTAGGTTTACTTTCGTCCAGAAGAGGTTTGCGCTTGCATTGTTACATGTGGTGGTCTATGCCCAGGGATCAATACAGTGATCCGTGAGATAGTTTGTGGTCTAAACTATATGTATGGAGTCAACAACATTATTGGAATTGAGGTACGTTGTTGTTAGCTTTGACCTTACACAGTTTCTATTGTCAAATGACCCTTCCACTGCACCAAAATTCTGGAATTGTGATGAGGATTGAAGGTTACAATTTTATACTCTAAATGGCAACACAGATTAAGCACCCTTTTTATGGGCCAAAACTTGGATTTACGAAACTTTGTCCTTTTCTAAATCAACTTTAAATTTGTGGACAATATGATTCAATACAGTGTTGCTATCATATGCCATATCAGATGCCCCTTTACTTCATGAAAACTCCGAAGTTGTGATGAGGGTTGAGGGTTGAGGCTTGAGGGTTACATTTTTATTCTTGTTAAAGTATAAAGAAAAGAAGTGACGTTTGTTACAATTTTGTTCGCCTGAAAATGACATTAAATGCTTGAAGTGCACAGCTGCGGTTCTCCAGGTTATGAGTCTGTACCTGTTTTAAATTTCAAGTTTCAACTAAAATTCTGCTTCTCTTTGTTCAATTTTTTAATGTTTTAAGGTACTTCAATTTGGCAATCACACACATGAACCATTTTCTGCGATGCTATTATATCCAAACTTTCATTTGGAATCCATCTTCCATGCTTTAATTTCATCATTTGAGACTTATCAATGGCAAGAGATTAATTAAGCTGGACAGTAAGGCAATCTATCTTAATCTTTTATTTGGTAATTTTCACAATATCTTCTGAGACTATCAAATTAAATTTGTACCTATCGAACTTTGCTCTTGCATGCAATATATAGCATCCACAGGTTCCACTGAGTGATATCTAGAAAATGTAATAGGTCAAAAGGAAAAATTAAATTGTAAAAAGTTAAAACTTAAAGCAGAATTATTGTACTAATTTACCTGCTTTGGGTTCTATTCATATACGTAGGTTTTCTTGTTCACTATGGTTTTTTGATTACTGGCTTTAGAGGTCAAACTTGTTGGCTCTTGCTTCTCGTGAATTGTCCAATGGCCCTGGTAGCTCTATATCCTTGACTACAATCATGAATTATGAAAATTGTTATCCATTGGTAAATCTCAAAATATTTGGATAACTTATTCTAATATTTTCCATCGTTTCTCATGTTTTCTGTCGTTTAATTTATGCATATTGATTTTTTAGAGCATATATACAACTGAAAGATCCTTCAACACAAATTACTAGGGTTGCCATCTGATCCTTTTTTCCCATCTAGTGCTCTATTGACAGTTACGTCCTCTGATAAGTTGCAGCTATCATTACCTTTGTTTTTTTCTTTTTGGTTTGGCGAGGGAACTTCCCCACGATCCTTCAGCTCATAGGTATCAAGCCCACAAGCGTGGCTAAGGGGCACCCCCCAACGCACGGCCTCAGGTATTCCACGAAATTAAATTCGTGTGGGTGCTCCTGAGACCTTGGAGTACTACTCATAGGCAGCTTACCAACTCGGCTAGACCCCGTTGGGTCTCATCATTACCTTTGTTTTATTTTTAGGTTTTATGCCTCTTTATTTTACAAGTTGCAAATATCTTTCTATATACCCATGCTGATTGTTTACTCTAGCCTAATTATAATAATATTCACAGGGAGGATATAGGGGCTTCTACTCAAAAAATACCATTACACTGACACCAAAGGTTGTCAGTGATATTCACAAACGTGGTGGCACCGTCCTTCGTACATCTCGAGGTGGTCATGATACCAACAAAATAGTTGATAGTATCCAGTATCGTGGAATTAATCAAGTAGGACCCTTAATTCTTTTTTTCGAAAACCAATACGGCATTGGTATAACATCATTACATAAGGATCTTTGTTGATCATGGTTCTAGGTCTACATTATTGGAGGTGATGGCACTCAAAAAGGAGCAGCAGCCATATATCAGGTTACTATTTGTCCCTATAACTCATAATAAAAAAACTTCATCCAATTTATTCATGTCAGTTATATGAATACATCATTGTCCTTTCCTTCTGCTAGAATCTAAAGTCTGTCATTCACATAATATCCAACTTTTACTGAATCCTTCATACCAGTTTTGGCACTATGCTTTCTCTTTATGGCTGCCTCCTGGTCTTTTTCTGGATAAATGTTAATTTGTTGCTTCATCACTTTCTTCTTTCTTCTAAATGTAGCTATTTTTATCAATCTCTTATAATTGTTGCTTTCATAGCTCTTTCTCTTCAACTCAATGTTCCCATCGACATTAGTGAGGACTAATGTGCACATGATTAATATCTTATATCATCATTGTTTACATAGAGTCATACACATTATGTATGCATACCAAACTACGTATATATGGTATGACATCACTTTTTTGTTATGCCTATGCAGGTAATTAGTTATGATTCTTCTTTTTTACTTTGCTTATTTGTTTGTTATCTGCAGGAAGTTGAGAAACGTGGTCTTCAAGTGGCAGTTGCTGGAATTCCTAAGACTATTGATAATGATATTGCTGTATGTTTTATAAACTTTTGACCGATCAATTAAATGGTGATTCTGATTTTTTTTTGAATTGGCTTATCATTATTTGCTTATTACCTCTATGCATTAGAATTTGGGTTATTTTTTATTTTGCTTTTTTTATCTTGTCAAACCTTGCTTAAGTATTTAAACTGATACTTGAGGACTTGATAATAACTTGTCAGAGGATGTTGTAGAAAATATTCATATCATAGGTATAAACTAGTACTGACCAAAAAAAGATATAAACAAATATCTTCAAGTTTTAGGACCTAGGGCTGTTTCCTTAATAGATAACCCATTTCATGGATGCATTGCATCTGATTCAGATTAGAAATGACTCTGAAGTTAGAGTGTGGTTCTTTTTCTACAGGGTCTTTACTTCTGGCTTACATAACCTTATATTTACTGCAAATAACAGTTTCCTTATTGACTTTTCGTACTTTCTTATTCGACCTTATATTCTTGAGTTGAATTTTATCCGGACCCTTCCTTCATGTACAAGATTAAATCATTTGATGGTCATAAAGTATGCTTTACTTCGTTATGGTGACATTTCTCCGTTTATTCATCTACACAAGAATCACATCTTTGTGCATTAAGTGTAACACCGAAGTGGGCGTGTCAAAGAAATATCGTTAAAGATCATAATTTTGAGCTACTTTTATCTTATAATTTTTAAGTAGCATAAAATATGCATACATTATTAAAATTTAATGTCAATTGAGCTCGAGATATTTTTTCTTGAAGAAACAAGGATATATGCTTAAACCAGTTTGTAAATGGATTGAGTAAATTATAAGAAGAGAAGTCCATTATGGCTACCTATAATCCAGTAAACTATGGGAAAATAGGTCTATTTGGTACTTTCTCTATTCTTCTTACTCATGGCTTGCTACGAAACAGTTGTGCAGGGACTCATCTGCTACATTTAGGTTTACCATATGTTTGTAGATTTTACTTTCCTTAATAGAATGAATAATTAGAGAAAAGGTATTCCATTGATAAAGTAGCCAGGATATACTATGTTTGATGGAGGAAGAAGAAATAAGCTGAAAGATGCTATTCTTCAAGCATAAGCCCACATATTTGTGTCAGGGTTTTATGTGTGTAGTGTATCACATTACATTTTCTTTTATGCTTTTACACAGTTTTCTTGTGGAAAGGTGGATGATTTCTTTGGCGGTTTCAGGTAATAGACAAATCTTTTGGTTTCGATACTGCTGTTGAAGAAGCACAGAGGGCCATAAATGCTGCGCATGTCGAAGTTGAAAGTGTAGAAAATGGTGTTGGTATTGTAAAGCTCATGGGCCGCTACAGCGGTAAGCTGGCATTCTTGACGTTTTCCATTATTACAACAATATCTCTCTTTTAAATGCTTCTTTAAATCTTGTTTTCTTTCACTTTGAAGTTGAAAACTCAGTGTCAATCAATCTAATGCTGGGGCAATTCTTGTATTTGCTGCAGGGTTTATTGCCATGTATGCTACTTTGGCGAGTAGAGATGTGGTAATAACTCCATCAAACTACTTTAAAAAATGCAGAAATTTAATTCTACATGCTTTTCAAGAAACCTCTATCTTTCAGCTGCGGTTGGTACTATGAAAGAATTATTAGTTATTACTCAGCATTAAGTGTTCGATGACAAGATTAAACGCTTAGTGGAAAAAAAAACCCACAGACATGACTGTATGCATGCATGTGGAAATACCTACATATGTTTATGCATAAATACTGGTGGTGATGATATGTGCTACCTGCAGATCCATTAGTTACCACAAATTGTATGCACATTCATAGGCCTCAACTCCTTCGGAGGTTTAACAGAGCGCATATCATCAAACCCCCATGCACCCACATGGAGCACAATCGCAAATACTAATACAAGCCCAACATTATCTCAAAGTTGCAATCTTCAGTAGGAATTATTTTCCTATGCTTATTTATCAGCAAGTTCACCCTTAAATTGCTTAACTATATATGTTAATTCTAGAACTTCTTAGTTATATTCTGCAACAGGATTGTTGTTTGATTCCGGAATCCCCATTTTATCTGGAAGGCCCCGGTGGTCTTTATGAGTTTGTTGAACAACGACTTAAAGAAAACGGTCACATAGTTATTGTGGTGGCAGAAGGAGCAGGACAGGACCATGTAGCTCAACATGTGGGCATTATCAATGAAAAGGACGAATCTGGAAATCGCCTTCTTCTGGATATTGGTCTATGGCTATCTCAAAAGATAAAGGTCTGTGCTAGGTATAGTCGCTAAAGTTATATTTTATTGCTGTTTAATAGAAGTTGCAGAAATTTAGTGAATCTTATCAGGTTTACTGCTATTTCTAAATAAATCATTTGGGTTTTATTAGTTTATATCTGGAAAACCACTATCATTTTCAGCTAATAATGCTTGAATATCCTTGTTCAGTCTTTTAATAAATTTTATATAATAAATTTTATTATGATATAAGTTTTAATTTTTTTATAAACAAATCTAATACATTTCAGTATCATATAAATTACTTCTTTGTTAATATATTGGTGTAGCGTGTGATTTATACTTGTGATGTGTTCATCCACAGCTCTTCTTGCTGCTGTGATATTTTTTTCTTACTGAAGTTAACAATCAAATTTGCAGGATCATTTCACAAGGGACAGGAAATTACCAGTATATCTCAAGTATATAGGTAGTTCTATCCCCCTCTTACTAACCACTGCTTGCCTGGAATTGCATAATTTGAATAATATGTGGAACTATATTTTCATTACTTAAAAGAGGCTTATTCCTGGTGGTTTCCACTTCAACGTTTGGTACCAGAAGTGTATATTCATATTGCTAAAGTGGAACATTATCTTGGTTAGTAAGAAGAATAAAGTCGATGCTTTCTAGCATTGTAAAATGACTGTACAATTGGGAATATTCTTTCTTCTTCGACTACATATGCACTTGCATTGTAAAATGACTGTACAATTGGGAATATTCTTTCTTCTTCGACTACATATGCACTTTTGAAGGTAGTACCTTTCATCAGTTAATGGTGTTTCTTCGACTACATATGCACTTTTGAAGGTAGTACCTTTCATCAGTTAATGGTGTTTGAAGATAATATTCGTTAAACTTGTCAGACACAGTTTCCTATGTTTTTTATGCTGTGATCTTGATTCCATTGGTTTACATAGTTGCAATGAACTTTAAAATAATATCGAACTATTGGATATGTCAGAAAATTCCTGGAAAATGCACTCTATGAACCAAATATACTGATTAGCCGACTTCCTACCACCGCAGTCCACGAAGAAAAAGAGAGTTTCTTATTAGGATTTTATGGGACACCGCATTCATATACATGTGATTATGTCAATACGTCTGCTTTACCTTTTGAGACCAAGAAATCACCTGTTTTTAGTACAAAACTAGAATATCTGATTTCTTGTTTTTTGTTAAATGTGATTTCTATTTCCTTTGAAGATCACAAGGAATTTTTTAATTTTTAATTTTATTTTTCAATTTTGCAATATATAGAAAGAGAAAATGTGTAACAGATCTATTCAGCCCAATTGGCTCCTGTTATATTGACATGATCCTGAGATGTTCTCAAATTGTCAATTGTTATTAATAAACCTCTACAGACGTATTGTACTGTTGAAAAGAGAAAGACGAGAATACATTTGGTATAGTATAGTTGCTAAAACCTTCATAAAGTGAATTTTAATGTATTAGAGTTCTTTGCAGATCCTACCTACATGATCCGAGCCATTCCAAGCAATGCATCCGATAATGTCTACTGTACACTTCTCGCACAAAGTGCTGTCCATGGAGCCATGGCAGGGTACACAGGTTTCACAGTTGGACCCGTAAATGGCAAACATGCATACATCCCAATTTCCGTGAGTACATTTCGTCTATAACTTAGAGTTTTAAATTTATTCTCGTTGTTCCCATATGTGAGAATTGCATATATCCCAATTTACTGGTGTATTATTATTATTATTATTTTTTTTTTCAGAGGGTTACGGAGACTACAAATGTCGTCAAGGTAACCGACAGAATGTGGGCTAGGCTTCTCGCCTCCACAAACCAACCAAGTTTCTTTAGCAATGATGAGGAGGTGAGGGAGATGGTTGACAAGGAAACCCTTCAATTGATTGATAACATGAGGATCAACTCATTGTGAAAAAATGTGGCTTCAGCCGGTTTTAAAGGATCTCGTAGTTTGCTTCAGTTTTAAAATTATACTCGAAGAACTTGAAGATATTCCAATAAAGGGCTTCCACTTCTCTCTTATTGTGCTATGTAACACTCTGATGCAATCAAAGAGTTCTTAGTTTATCTTTGAGAAATCTGATAATTTTATATGATTATTTTAGTAACGAGGGTGTAATAGCTTGGAGTTTACACAGATATTGTTCAAACATTTTCTTACATATTTTCATCAATAACCATTTAAAACTGCCATTTGCATATCAGATAGCTGCTTATGGGCTAGACGTGATGTTGAAATGTGATGAGCAAAGCTCTAAATCAGATCGAGTTTCGATCAGATACTAATAATTTTTTATTTTTAAAATTTCTGATTCACAATCTATCTATGTATTGTGTTGTCCTAATAAAACAACTGCCATTGTTTGAGAGAATACTCCATTAAAATTTAACTTCCTAGATTTTCGATCATATCATTTTATTTAGGTTAAATACAAATCTAAACTCTCTTAAAAGCCAAAGTTAGACCCTCCTCTTCTCATCCCATGGCCGTAGAGGGACTACTCTGTAGTAACTCATATGAATGCAGGGACTAAATAACAATTTCAATGAATTGTGAATGTCCTTAAAAGTATGAAAGATTTAAGGGATCAATATCTAAAAAAACTAAAGAACCCTTGAATAAAATTAGGCTGCGCCTTCACCCTTCAACTAAACTCAAGCCGTGACTTTTAATCCCATCGTCCCCTCAAATCCCAGCAACCAATGGAAGGCTTGGCGGTCACTGATGCAGATCCCATCGCCATCGAATTGGCAGCTGAGCTTAGCTCTCTCCTCTTCACGTTAAGTCCTAATTCTTCCTCTTTTAGCTTCAATTTTTTTTTCTTTCGATGTAAATATTGTCCATAAAGATTCAAATTGGATGTACTAGTTTTCAATTTCTTTGGAAAAAATGAAACTGCTTCCACTTGCCTACCATCATGTTGGACATGCATGCTATTATCATAGTTATGAATAATGTACGGTTTTATTATGGACAAGTTTGTGAAAACAAACTTATTGAGAATTTAATCAGCAAAAACGACATTCTCCCTTAAAAATGAGCAAAATCGACCGTTTTTAGCCCTCGCGGGCAGAAAACGGTCAATTTTGCTGAAGAGGTTTTTTAACTACACAGGACTACTAGTCCCGTGTAGTTACGGCGTGCTAATGATTAGCCATGCCAAGCAAATGGAGTTTGATGTGGTCAGAGACGGCTATGGTTGCGAGCATGGTTGGAGGCGTCTGTGGTCGCGAGTGCGGTCGGAGGCTGGGGTCGCGAGACGTGGTGTGGTCGCGAGCGTGGTCGGCCGGGTCGCGAGAAGTCATGGAGAACTTGAGAAGAGGGGAGGGTCACAGGATTTTAGGGCTGAAGTTCTTAAGTATTCGAAATAGATGGGACTACTAGTCCCGTATAATTTGGCCGCTTGATTAAGGCTTTAAATTACACGGGACTAGTAGTCCCGTGTATCGCAGAAACTCCATTTTAGCAAAATCGGCCGTTCTCTCTAACGTCGAGCGGTCAATTTTGCTAATTTTTCTCTAATTGAGTTGTTTTTGCCGATTAAATTCTCAAAAAGGTTGATTTCAAAAATTTGTCCTTTTATTAATTACATACCTTGAGACAGTTTTTAGTTTGCATGTAGAAAACTGCTTCCTCTGTACATGTATGCATCAACTTTCTAAAACCCTGGTTGTTCGGCTTTTTTGCTTGCCGGTTAATTTGTTCGTTAGTTAAGTCTTTGATTTGTCTATTTTGGCTTCTATTTTGTATAGAGAAGTTTATACGTCGCTATCCAGGTAAAGCCTATTAAAAATTGTACAGGGGATTGTAATTCATCTACTGAATAAATGATGAATTGAGTTGTGTTCTCATTGCAGGCTGCCCTTGTTGCCTTTTTCCTTGAGTTTATTTTCAAATTTAGTCGTGTCGAAAGTGGTGACGCCACCCGTGAGCTCCCCTGTGGTTCCCATAATTGGCCAATATAAGGGGTCGAACACTAGGCTCCTCCCTAACACCAGCGGCATATCCATGCTCGGGAAAGTGGAGTCACGTGATCCCACTTTGCTTGGCACCCAAACCCCATCACTACTAAAAACACCCAAGCAACTCACCCGCATACAGGGGTAGATACTCGCTCTCTAGTCCAGTTTCTTTCCTATTAATATTCGGACATATTTCCTATTAATATTCCAACTTCTTTCCTACTAATATTTCGAATAATTTGATTTATTTACTACTCTTGTTGGTTTCTAAATTTTCATTTTGACACAACGTGTTAATTTTGAAGGTTTAGCCTTAGTCAAACAAACAGAAAATGTTGTGCGCGGAAACCACTAATCGTTATGCTTCGAGGAACCAAACCAAACGCTGAGAGAGAAAGCCAAACAATGCAAAATAACCGCACAAACACAAACAACCAATTTTTATGTGGTTTGACAAGTTGCCTACGTCCACGGGGCAAGAAAGGGATGAGTTTTCACTAATAGAGAAGGAGAGTACAAACTGAGATTACAAATCACTCAAAACAAACCAACTAATCTCACCAACAAATCTCTCAATCTCTCAAACAATAACCCTAACCAATAGCTCAGAAAAATCTTTCTTTTCTGTGCTCCAATAACCCCAAAACAATCCCAAAGAAACCCTAAAATGTGTGTTTGAATTTATATCAAACACTAATCCCAAACAGAATAGGAAACAACAATCTTGGCCTGACCCGATACGCGGTCGACTGCCACGGTCGACCGCGACAAACGATAGAACCCA